GCAGATTTTACCTTTGGCTTGCTCAATGACTTCCTCTTTCCACTTAGCAATGTTCAGATTTTTATCCGAGTTCAAATTATATTCAGTAAGAATGTTATCACAATCCTTCTTAGAAGCATGACACATTTCCACCACCTTAAAGGAGTCAATCAAAGACAAGTATTAACAGACATAATTAAAGTAAAATTTTCTTTTGTAAGGGTTTTGGCATGTTATTGAAATAACAATTTTGTCTAATACATATACATCATAGACAAAATGAAGAATTACAATCACCCTTGCAAATCTTTTGACAAGCATTGCTGGCATAGCACAAATCTTTCTCTTGTTCCATGCAATGGCATGTTCTGTAAGGACTTCATCACGGCCTACAAAAGTTATGAGAAACACATTGTAATTATTTCTAATCTGTTGGTGCTGGTTTCTGAAATAATCCCATTGCAAATGAAAAAAAAAAAAAACTAAAAAACAAACAAACATAATAATGGAAAACTTGCAGAATAAAAAGAGAGTGTTAAAAAATATAACAACATCTGCTTATTATTTTAGTTTGCATTTTAAGCAGATGTAGCAAGCAGAAATGGTGTGTAGATTGACATAATGGAAAATGTAGATGTACCTTCAGGAAGCATATACTTTGTTGTATTGCCACAACAGGACATGTAAGAATTGATTTGCTCCACTTCTTCTCCTGTTGAACAAGCACTGCCAACTTGCCAGCGACCACCCCATAATACCTTTAAAGAAATTGTTAGAAATAAATAAAACATGCATTAATTTTAGTGCAAAAATAATTATATTGAAAGCAGTTAGTTACCATGACAATATTTTTTTTAAAAAAGGGAGCTTCTTAAGAATATCCCACATGTACACAGAGTATTATAAATCATTCAATGTATGAATCATTGTTAAATCAAACGAAAGATTTATGCTTTTTTTCTTTTTTTTTTTCACGGAAAAGTAGGACATACTTGGCAAGTCCGTTTGTGTGCCTTGGCATGCATAACAGAGAGGGCTGGTTTCATATTGAGCTCCTTCAATCCTCCAACTTTGCCGGCCCACTTCCAGTATTTGCACACAACATCTTCCCAGAAGAACTTTACTCCAGCAGGATACATTTTTTTGGTCTGAATGAAATGGGCATAACCATATATTTCACCCTGATACATGTTTACTGCCCACTGAGAAAGTCCATGGCGACATCCTGCAATTTCAAGGCCAGTCTCATCAAGCTTTGCCTTCTTTCTTGCTGTATTCTGTGCTGCTCTCCAATGTGACTCACCACACATGCTGTCTTTTGTCACTCTGAAATAAGACATACATGTGCTGTCTTAAACAATTTCCAGCAGTGAGGAGAGAGTTATAAAATGTGATGCACAGCAGAGTATTTTTTTTATTGATAATTTCAAGGAGTCAATGTCAGGAGTGTCAGATAAACATTCTCTATTCAAAGCAAAGACGAGAATAGATTAGTTATAAATTCAATGGTTTACTCTTGACATATTATGTCAGAGTTGAGGGAATTTTTTTTTAAAATTTTATTTCTAAACACAAACAACATTTACACAGTATGGGGCACTCATAGGTCTCAAGACTAACTTCTTGGGTGAATAGATTAGTGGCTACTGACAACTATCATTTAACTAACAAAAAAAAATTTTACAAGGTAGAACTATCAAACTTGTGTGTAATTAGTGATTACGAGACAGCAGAGTCTGTTGTTCACAGAAAAAGCCTAATAGCTGGAGTTTTTATGCTTTCTCCTTGATGGGATGCTAATACATAGCAGGGATACCCCTAACATTAAATTTGCCGATAGTCATTTATATATCTGGATGGAGAGAGGCAGTATGAGCTGAAGTATCTTGCCCAAGAACACAATACAGTGTACCACTCAAGTCTAGAACCCATACCAATCAATCCAGAGTCCACTGTACTAACTTGTAGGCCACCACCTGTATGATAGCTGGAGAAAAGCGCAATCATTAAGCACGAAAAAAGCTTTTAACAAAAGTTTTGGGCTAAATTCCTGATGGCATATTGAACAGCCAAAATTTTCTGCATTTTTTAATTTGTGATATATCTTTATCTTGTGGCTTATAAATAATGTTACAAAATATATCTCTGATAGAATAAATATATGAAAATCATATATTGAACTGCGGTATTTGATACGTATGATGCATGATCCTCGCAGTAGATAGCGCTATTTAAGCAATAGCGAAATTCAGACCTGAAAAAAATCAGGCCTGTACGGGACTCGAACCACTGACCTCTGCGATACTAGTGCAGCGCTCTAACCAATTGAGCTAACAAGCCAACTGAGAGCAGGCCGTTAAGTTGATTCGTAATGAACCCGTGAAAGTGATAAATGAGATAGAATAAATATATGAAAATCATATATTTTGAACTGCGGTATTTGATACGTATGATGCACGATCCTCGCAGTAGATAGCGCTATTTAAGCAATAGCGAAATTCAGACCTGAAAAAAATCAGGCCTGTACGGGACTCGAACCACTGACCTCTGCGATACTAGTGCAGCGCTCTAACCAATTGAGCTAACAAGCCAACTGAGAGCAGGCCGTTAAGTTGATTCGTAATGAACCCGTGAAAGTGATAAATGAGATAGAATAAATATATGAAAATCATATATTTTGAACTGCGGTATTTGATACGTATGATG